GGTAGTAATGGTGGTAGCAGTGGTAGTAGTGGTAGTAGTGGTAGTAGTAGTAGTAGTAGTAGTAGCAGCAGCAGTAGTAGCAGTAGCGACAAAGTAGAAGTAGGAGTACTAAACCTACTGCTAGTACACGTACTGCTCTGCTAGCACCAATACTATAGCACTAGTACTATAGTAGCAGTGCTAGCACTAGTACTAGTACAAGTACTGGTACTATGCTCGTTCTGGTGGTAGTAGTCGTCGTGGTGGTGGATATATTATGACGTAGCAGTCCTTGTGGTGGTTGTCGTGCTGGTAGTAGGTTGGTCCGTTGAGTTTGGGAATGTTGTTTGAGGATTTGTAGGCGGTCGGGGTTAAGAATCAGGTCGCACAAAGCCGTGGCCATGGCCTTGGAAAAGCCCGTCCCTCACTGGCGGAGACTATCGCAGATCTTAAGTGCAAAACCTACTAGTAACGATCCCAAATCTGGGACTTTCGAATGCTGAGGATGGGTATACGACGATACAACTTTGCAGTTGCATTTGGGCCCGTGGAACGATGGCATGCTGTCTTTGCATCTTACATGCCTCAAGTCTGTCACACAAGACCTTTCTCGGATTTATTTCACGGACCCAGAACTTTTGGCGGGCACATTGTATTACGCCTTGCAACCGAACTTAGATTCAACCGAAGACAAGTAACCTTAGATCAATGCTCAGGTCTAGATGTGCCCTCGCATGCCTCTGTGCTGTGTGGTACCAGGTACTAGTATGCGCTTCAGCACGCCTGATAAGCCTTAGGCCTTAAACCCTTTGGGCTTCTCGGTGGGGGGCTCGTCCGGCACGCCCATGGTCATGCCGCCTGCGAGCAAGAGCCCAGCAGATGGTCCCATAACATGTGACGCTTCCGAACATAGTTTGTATCTATGTCACAGCTTCGCGGTCATGAAGTTGGAGCATAGCAAAGGGATGGTGGATTGGCTTCTTTTCCCAATGATGTAACGAACCGTAAGCACGCCGCTTTTGATCAATATCTTCTTAGCAAGGAAGTAGCTCTCTTGCGCGAAAAGCACCAGCTGGAATCTATTTAACACGTGCTTCCAATCGCTTCATGTTTTGACAACTAAAGCTGGCTCCTTTCCTGCCCGTCAATCAGTAGGTTTTTTGTTGTGTCTAGAAAAGTAAAACGCAGGCCAGGGAATACGAGTTGCAGGCCTTTGCGGAAATTTGAGCACACAGCACTCATTCTGCTTGGTTATCTATGGGTGACCGCCTGCGCCTGCAGAGAAGCCGGCCGGAACTGCTGCCTGGTGAAGGCATGCAGCAGTGTCCCTGAGACATTTCGAGGCTCTTCGGCCGGCCTGCGGAGGCTCGTAGCTGAATCTGGTTGAAGCGCCTGACCGAACATTACATGCTACATGCTACGCTGCCACACGTCATGGCTTATATGGCTTACCGTACGAGTACCACAGTGTACCACAGCAGGCGCCGAGTGCAGTGCCGGCGAAGGCAGCACCCACCAGCTCAACGCGGCGAGCTTGAGGCCTGACGACTGGAACGGTGGCCATGAGGATCTGTGCGAAGCCGACAACCCCGTGTGCATCTCACGGCGCCTATTGTCGGGCGTCAGCCGCAAGTTGAAGCGGCATGCCTGCCCGGTCAGACCTCATGGTGGGCGGCTTGCGTTGCAAAGCTTGCAGAGACTGGTGTCCGGAGTCGGAACTCTGCAAGACGAAGGATGAGCTTCAAATTCCATATGCAAGCCAACTCGTTTCTCGCCTCCTCGTTCCTCATCCGACAGGGCCCGTGACAAGTCCTGTAGAAAGCTCTGGCTGGCAATGCTTGACAGGAATCGAAGTAAGAAATCGAGGTCCAATCCTTGATGTTGAAGTAAACATCCTGCTGGAACACCGAGTCGACAGTCGGCTTGATGAAGCCATACCTTTCACATGCACCCACGAATGATTGCGGAGGAAAGATTGGGCGCCTTTACGTGGCAGGTGTGTCCGAGGTGGACAGACACGAGCCGCACGAGCAGCCCCAAGCTGTGGTGGGGTGCGAACCCAGGTTCGAACCTGGATTCTGGACATTGTAGTTGCGTTCTCTCCCCCCACTCGGAGAAAGGGGGTTTGAACCGGGCTTCGAACCCCCCGCACACTAAAACGGACGTTGCCCAGTGCCGACAGCTGTGCTATTCCATTGGCGACGATCTGCCCGAATCTGACCCCCAAGTCTGGAGGATCGTCACCCCGAAAAGCACCATCGAGACACAGTCTTGAGTTGTTTGAGCTGTTTTGCGGTCCAAAATCAGCTCGAGACTCAATGTGGCAATGCAGACGGCATACAGTGCGCACACCCAACGCACGGAAGACAGGTGGATGAGTGAGCTTCCAAATCGCGCATATTCTGCTTTCCGGAACAATGCCAGGGGCTAGTTTCCACAGACCCGCGCACCCTGCACTTGCGTTGAACTGCACCACTTCGCCAACGATGACCTCCTCTGGCTCTGGGATGATCATGACCTAGCAGATGCGAAATCACCGGCCAACATAATATGAGTTGGTCTGTACCTCGCGCCTCCTTGGCAAAAGCCCGTGCGCCACCCAGAGCCAGTGTGAAGAGGACGGTGGCCCTGGCACAGGCGATCCCCTTCGTCTGACAACGTAGTGTGGAAGGCGCGTCTCTATGGCGAGAGCTGGGTATGCCACGAACAAATCTATATATATATATATATGTGAATATATTCATATTCTATACATATATGCTAACCTTAAACTGTCGTCAGAAGGAGCAACGCCTTCGAACCTGGCTCTCCTCTGCTTTCCGATTGTCCCCGTATCCGTATCACAGCTCCCCAAAACCAATGAAAACACCACCTAGTCTAGCACTTGCAGAACAGAGAAACTGACAGTATGCAGCGCACTACATCCAGACGTCGTGTGGCTTAAATCTTGCCTCTGCAAACGCGACGTGTCGCCCGACAGCACCTAGGTTTGGGGGGTGAGTCATGTTTGAGTTGCACAGGGCCCGAACACATCGCGTGCCGCATCGGAACTCACCCCCGAGGATCCCAGTAATCCCAACAGGCTCTGGATCGACTACTAGCGCGAGCGCCTGCCGCTGCAGGTTGGCAGGAAGGTCTGTGGGCGTGAAAGACACCTCCTTCATGACGTCTCCAAAAGATGGCGGTCTCATCTCGCGAGTGAGAGAGGCTACCCCACGCAACTAGGTTGCACTCTGTCCTCGGCCATCGAAGCACAAACGATCAAGCCTCCGTCCTGTCAGAGCTCATTGGAGACGCACTGCAAAAGATGCACAAGTTCACAGGGACGGCCCAGCGACTCGGGTGACTCGGCTGCCCGGCCTGATTGACTTCCTTGATCTGCCCCTGAAGGCGCGAGCCGTCGGTTGGTTCGCCTCGGCCGCTGTGGATGAAACGTGAACAAACCCTGCCTCTCGGCTGCAAAAACTCGGAGAAACTCCACGATTCGTGGTCGCGCTGCGCGGACCCAACTCGACAGCGAGCATAAGCCGATTTGGGGGCAAAATAAGAACTATGTCAGGTGGCATCGCACCCTCATTAACGTGATGCCGAAGCATGAACTCAGCCAACTTGTGGGCAGCGAGTCTAAGTGAAACTGCCACCTGCACAAGACAGATACCCTTTGGGTAGAACCGTCTGCGCTTCGAAGGCGTCAGAATTAGTTTTCGCTGGTTGTGCCGCGAGGACCGCTAGGAACCGAAACTCATCTCTGTTGCGCCGATCACCGCAGGCTGCAAGCCATCTGGCATCTTCGGGGCTTCAACACGCACATATCATTGGATACACTTCGATCTAGCGTCTTCGTTGTGATTTCCAACATACTCAACGCGAATCCAGACTATTCCTGGCTTCTGGCGCCCGCCTCGCTGCCGCAAAGGAGTCCTCGCGCAGGGGTGGTTCAGTCAACGGACCCTGTTTGGACCGACTCAAAAACAAACTGAACCCTTCTGTTGATCAGCATCTGTCGGACAGGAAACAAGACCGAGTCACGCGAGGGCACACAGGCTCTTTGCTTTCCAAGCAGCTGCTCACAGCACTCAGCGACATCACTCGCACGCCTATTCCTCGTGACCACAAGAGCTGATAACGGTGTCAAAAGCTGATGCACGAGACTTTGCACGATTTCGCCATAGATCTGCAACCCACCTGTTTCTGCAGCAGCCTGTGGCTTCTGCGAAAGCTAGACTTGATGACGACCTTTATCTATGTTCCCTACTTGTCATCTCTCACTTCAGATGCTTCAGCGTGCCGTCGAGAGGCTCCATGACCAATTTGTCGAGATAATTTGCAACCTTTTGAATCAACAAAAGTGTCTTCACAGCCATGACGCAGCCTGCACGACTACGTCGCGCGCTCGTGCCAGCGCGTGCCTCGAAGACCGCGTTGTTTGCAGGCAATTCAGCAATCGCCCTTCGGCATTCGGCGACCTGTTCAGGGACCGAAATGTCCACGATTGGGTTGCAAGCTTCTTCCAATGACTGTAGAAAGTTTGAAAGTGGTGCCATTGGCAAGGATGCTTGCATCCTATTGCCCTGCCTTGCTGGTCAAATCCTTAGCTTGAAAGACTCCGAAAGACGGGTCCTTGAGTTGGTATCGGGTTCCAATAGGTTTGTGAGTCTTGCAGCTGGCTCAAACACTTTGCCGCTCGCCTTCACCTCAACAACTAATTCCGTGCCGCCATGGTTCTTCTGGGAGATTCTCCAAGTCCTCCCAGCTACTTGTACTTTGAGAAGGGCACTCGCGTGCGGGAACCGCCACGCACAACCCATGCCTGCACGACCAGGCCGGCACCGGAGCCAGAGAGGTAGTCCAGCACAGGCTGAACAAACAGCAGGGATGTGAAGCAGAAGGCTTCAGAACACTCCGGCACTTGTTACTCGCTCGCTGCCGGTTTTCTAGTGGCGTAGCCAGGAAGCACAACATTCTCGTCTCTCTACTTGTTTGATGGTTTGGAATCGTTCGGAACAGCCGGAGAGAGCCTGCTCCTGCGGCATGACGTTCCGGCTCTCTATCAGCATCGGGACACCGCAAGCTATAGCCTTCGGAATCACAGAGCGGCTGCGACCGGTCAAACATCGATAAACAAGCGCCTTCATGCAATCAACATGACCCAGGAATGTGCCTCAGCAGCCACGCCTGGACCCGCTTTGCCCAGCACGCAAAAAGCCTGACAGCTGTGCGGCCTTGCTCTATGGCATGAAGAGAGGATAAACACTTCCCACCTTCATTAAACCCCGAGTACTCCATATACTGACCTTGGGGATATCTTCCCCATCACGGGTACAAGTCGAAACACAAGAAACAGTACTAGATGTGGCCGGGTGGTCCTAGCCGTATTACTGCTAGATGCCGTGCTCATGCCCAAGTAGTGTCACCCAAAGAGAAGGGTAGGCACGAGGTTCGGGGTTCACGGGTGAATTTTGGGATCCGACCTCTCCAGTGATCCGCTACGACTGTCACTAGCACCCACTTTCGTTCTGGGCCCTGGGACTTCCTAAACCGATGTACGCCTTACACCTCATTGGCTTCTCAGGCTGTGCAAAGCCTCCTGCATCAGAGCCATGTCATGCCATCTCGAAAGATGCGCGCCCGCAAAATCCACTACTGTTGAATGAGCTTGGCCGAGACATCGAATTCATGAAAATAGCAACGCAGGGCTTTGTAACAATAGTATACTCGATTCTACTACGACGCAGAAATGGATATTCGGGACTTGGATGTGCTTTGTCTCTGCTCAACACACAGCATGCGCGACCTGTGCAAAGTAGTCCCGCACTTGCTCAGAGCTCACGAACCCCTCCACGACCTGCAGACGTGCAGCACTGCACCATGTCGAGAGCATGCTCTTTCGAGATTGAAGCTGCAAAACATTGTGATTGCCACAACACCCGCATCTACTTTGGACTTGCAAACCGACATACACGAGCAAATAGACGAACACACAGACGCATATTTGCCAGTGCGAGCTCAGGGACATGACGGCCGTTTCCTTGCGCGACAAAGTCCTCAACTCGATCCAGAGCAAATGTGATTCGAGAATGCCGCCTGTGCCGTTTTAGCATGGCCGGACTCGACCGTTCTGGATCCAGTGTCCTTCCTCGCCAAACGGTAACAGCCTAACAGTAGAACCTTCAACTAGCTACCTGAAACATGCTTCTTAACGGTATTCCCGTGTCCTGTAGCTGGGTACGCAGGTCTTCGTTCTTGCCACCTAAGCCACAATCAAGGATGCTGTCCGCATGCAACGACAAGACTTGCTGTGACATGCCGCAGGATTGCAAAATAGCTGCAACTCTGCCGCTCACTGAACCTACTGACATGTCCAATGCTGAACTCCTGCCAGCCTGAACTGAGCGGGCCCAATTAGCTACACTTTGCCAGGGGCGTGGCAAAGAACCACGATGGACATTTCCTTAGTGGCTGGCCCGGCTCCCAGCTGCGGCAAAGCAGAACAACTCTTTTCAAACTTAAAATGCGGCAGGGTGACTTAAAAGTTAACTTAAAAGCAGAGTCCACATGGCAGGAACAAGAGCTCAAATCCCGGTCCCGCTGCATGCAGCTGCGGCTCTGGATGTGCTGCTGACAGCTTTCTGGCGATTTGCCCGACCCGCGTGGGGGCAGTTCCGCCGAAGAAAATCACAACCGTCTGCCAGGAAACCGAGTGCGCAGAAATGCAATTTTCGCACGCCGATGAGCCTGGGAAGTCGCACCATGGTTCTTGGCCTTCGCATCGTAGAATTGTGGATGGATGACCATGCCTCAGCATTGGCATTGGACCGGCTTGGTGCCAAGCATGTTCTCAAGCTGGTGAGCGCCTGAGGTTCTCAGCAGTGCCGAGGATGGCCAGCCCATCTCCAGCGCCTGCAAGACAGTCCGCTCACAAAAAACACACACACCGATGGAACATAGCTTCATGCGACGTCGCAGAGCCGCTAGTCAGACTTTGTTGCAATCACAGTATAACCCGAGCAAATGCTGCTTCAGCCTAGCTAGCTGGCTGAGTGCGATCGATCCAGAAGCTGAAGGCCAAATATCTCTTCGTCCACCCATCTCGGTGCTTCACGTTCACGGACCAAATCTGAAACACTAGTCATCCCAGTGTAAAGCGCCCACCTGGGCTTCGAGAGTCTCGTTCCCAACCACAAGGCTGTGATTCAAAGCCTCGAGCTTCATTTCAGTCGGGTCGTGGAAGAGCTGATTCAACATAAAAAAGACCGTTCGTCCAAGCTGCAGTGGCATCGTATCGGTCTATCCAAGGATGCTCTCGACCTGCCGCGGCATCAGATTCTTCATCATCAGCAGGACAAAGTACACCAGTGTGTAGGAGAGTCAACAGAGTGTGCACAACCGATGAAACTGTAGGATGCAGATGCAGCACTCCACAGAGCTGGACAAGCAATCAGCTTTGAGCTGCTTCATGCATGTTGACTTGTTGCCAATCAGCCCCGCATCAGCTAGCTTCGTGACCAGACGAAGAAACCAGCATTACAGCAAACACTCAATTGCTTAGGCTTGAAGAGGAGCTTCGCCTGAGTGACTTACACGGGTGCTGGACCAGACGTGGTGCGTAGGTAATTGAGGCACATGCGACCGCAAATGCAATGGACCTAACTCCCAGTGCCGAGTGGCAGTTCGCCACATCAGTGATCACGGTCACAAAGCGGCCGTGAGGGAAGACTTTCAACAGGGAGGCCCGCATCGCGACGTTGAGGAACGGGACCTGGGCAGCAGTCTGGGTCCTTCGTCTGGTGGCTGCCGATCTGCGAGGGCGACGAGGCTGGCATGGGGATCGTGGGCGGAGCCACATGTACCCATAACGGCAAGAAGCGACCATCAGACCGAAGCTGTGATGTGCGGTCAATTCGGCGGAGAGGCAAAAGACACCACCAATGCTGGCTTCTTCACGTGCCAGTACTCCTGATGTCAGGCACCGAAATTAGTCCCTTCAATCGAGACGCGGGACCTACAGCCTGACACCTGGTGCCGGGTTTGCTGAGACATGAAAAAGTCGGAGGCCAACGTGGCTATGTGTGTGCAGCCGCGGGGGACGGAAGCAAGAGACCAAGAGTGAGAGACAGCCAGAGGGAGTGCAAGGCAGAGATGCACAGAGAAAACAATAACGGTTAACGCAATGGGGCAGATCCTGGCACCAAGTCACGCCCACACAGCTTTGCATTTATACAGCGTGCTAGGTGTCAGCATCCCGTCGTGGCACGATCAGGCTTCCCGTTATCACACCTCGCATTCGCTGCAAGCAGACGGTATCCATTACGAGCCTCGAAGACCTCTTCGATTGCTGCCTGGCACAAGTCCAGGCAGCAGTTCTTCCGAACTCACCGGGCAAGCAGGTACATAAAACTGGCTGAAACACTAAGACCGACAATTACTTCACATGTCGACGTGGCATGTACCCCTTCGGCCTGATTCATTCGAATGCCGAAGGCTGCAATGTTGCCCAACATTCCCGCCATCTCAGTAGAATCATGGGACTGTTGCAGGATGAAGCTTGTGAATCCGACACACTAAAAACATCTGTAAGGGAGGTGTGCAGCGTGGTACACTGCTACCTCTCGAAATATTTTGCATTATTTTGCAGCTGCACCAGAATCAACCTTAGCCGGTAACTTCCGAAACCGGCTACCCGTCTTGAGTATAGCAAAGCTGTGGTCGGGGAAGCATACGACTATTTCCGAAGACATTCCCAACTTGCTGCTTGGCCGCTGTGTAGAAGCCTATTCGCATGAGGTAATTGTAGATGTCATCACCTGCCAACACTGGACATCAGGCCCAGGGTTGTGAGCAGAATTGGGTAGCAAGAAATCACGATTCAGAGTCAGGAGACCAGCGAAAGATCCTTCAGCAATCTTCAGGATGAAGCTTTTAGTTGCATCTTAATTGTTTCACTCTTCCCTCTATAGTTAAACTCCCAAGCCCTAAACCCTAATCCCTAACACCCTGCACAGGAGTCTCCGTTTGCTTTTCAGGGCTCACCGCTAGGCAGGAGATCGCCGGAGATCGCTAGCTCGGCAAGACCTCGTCTCGAAGGGCAGCCGAGGGGCAGCCGAAAGGCATTTTAGGGTTTAGGGTGTTCGAAGGAATCTTCGATTGTTTTGGCCAGCTTGGCAGTAGGACAGTGGCTCATTAGTAATTAACTCCACTTCGCTGCTGCAATCTGGAGGACACCTTCCTCTGGCTGCGAACAACAGCAGCATCGACACGATTGAATTGATTGACTTGAAGATTCTTGACCCGCCTCCACCGTCAGCAATCTCGACACACTCCTGAGCTGAAAGCAAGAGTAGCTGGTCAACTTCCCCAAAGGATCAACAGCCGGTGAACTTGACTGAGTCTACAGATCTCGCAGCAAACGCAGGTCTGCGTAAGAGCAGCAATAACGGACTCTGCATTGTCGAGGACCTGGACGTGGGCGGATGATTTTACAGCAGAGTACACATCTAGCTAGCTGAGGTCAGGGCACACCGCTGCAGCGCTTTCGCAGCTGCCATGTGCCCTGGGCAGCAGCGACTTGGCGCAGTGGAAGTTGAGACAAGGAAGGCTGTTCCGGCATGCTCTGGCCATGAGCCTCCTCCGCCACGGCCGACCAAGAAGACGGCCTGGTCATGTCAAGTGCGCAGTCAGGACAGTCCGCTGATGTGTGTGTGTGTGGGGAACCCAAAATACCACGGGCTTACAGCGCAGGGGCACACGGCATTCACAACCTACCGTGTGCAACGAAGCTACGGTTGTGGATGGGAAGGGGGACTTGGCCAGTCCTCTGTACCTGCGACAGTTTGTGACCTCCTCAATCGTACAAGCTGTATATTGGTTCGTATTTCACCAGTCGCTGTGCAATGATGCTTCCGGAAGTGCTCGTGGATGTGCTGAGAGT